TAAGGTAGTATATTAAAGATACTTTCCAAACTATAAAGGCCAGTAAAAATGTTAAGGTTTTAAAAATTATTATTTTAATTATTAGTTCTTTATACTGCATGCTATAATATGTGAATTTGCTTCTATTTTATCCAATTTTACTAGTTTAACAGATTTAAAAAATGTTTAATTCTCATTTTCTCCACGCTTTGATCCTTGATTTAAAGAACAAAGGGCAGCACTTCTTGTGTTCTGTTTTTCTGATGTCTTTTTCTGAATATTAAAGAGAAAGATTGTACTTTATTTTAACAATGTGGTATTTCTTCAACTTGATGAACGTTGAATTTTTTTAAATTTAAAAGTTAGATTGGCTTCTTTAAAATTGTAAGTTTATTACTGCACGTAAAAGCAATCAAATGATCCTTGTTCACATAATCGAATCTAAGTAGTAAATTAGTAAATATATGAGAATCATAATTAATTCTTTACTGGGTGATCTATATTTTTCCTGATTTTGTAATGTTTTCCTCCTTCTCAAACACTGCCTGCATTGTATTGCTCTATTTTGATTTATAGGTAGTTTTTAGTCAATGAATGAAATCAGAGCTACTTCAGAATTCATTTGCTTATAATCTTTTGATTTGTCCATGAGCCAAAATAAACCATTGGTGGCTCCATTAGAAAACTATTGAATATATAAACCCAGTATGCTGAGGTTAGCCTACATCTACACTTAAATATGGATTTTGTACTTGGAAATCCTATAGTTTTTGACTTCTGGAATATATGGATATCTAGAAAATAGAAGATGAGGTAAGATGAGAATCTGTTTATGGAAAACATGAGTTTTACATTTATTCTTTCTCATTTCCAGTTTGAATTTGGTGAACATATTAAATATCCCTTTCATATACAAATATATTGAAAAACTAATTCATTGTTCAAAGTTTAAACTGCCCATGAAACGGTTATTGAACTTTAGTTGGGGAGCACTTTAATAAAAACATTTTAACATCTAATTATGAAAAGTATAGAAGTGACCCAAATAATTGATTTTGTATTTTTATTTTATTTGTATATTAACCCATTGATCTTTATTTTGTCTTATACCTGAAAATAAGAACAAAATGTGTGCTTATAGAGCAATTATTTTATTGAGGACATATCTTAAAAGTCAAGAAGTGAAGCTGCTTGGTAATGCTATAAATTTAAAACTGTCCTACAGCAAGACAGTATGATGCAAATATGACTTAATAAGATCACAAACTGAATTTCAGTGAAACAACCAAGATTTACATTAAATTAGGAATTTTAAAACTGATTTAGTTTGTTTTACTGAGCATTTGCTTAATAACATTTTGCCTTCTTGCAATCTTTTTAAAGACAATAATTCGTCTGTGAAATGCAGGCACATCCTCAGTAGAAAAATTGAAAGCAACAGCTCACTTTCTGAAACCACACATATAGCGATATAAAGAAATATTTCAGCTCTACAAAATTTAATAAATCATCCCATTTCCTAATTTGATCATATTAGATGCTGATGTGGAAGAAGCATTTCAAATACCATCTCCTCATTAATATACATCAGTCTGGGGAATAGAATGGAATACTTATGCAGAGATGTCACAGTTACTGTTTCTTAGTTTACTAAGTGGAACAGGTTGATGTGATACTGGGTGCTATTTGTCAATGTCTTGTTAAAATGGTTTGGGTCGAGTTATGGAGTCCAGAAAGACGGCGGCTGATAAATCAAAAGTGGATTGAGTGGACAGGAGGCAGTGATTGATACTGTGACAGGATATGAAGAAAGGAACCTTGATACAAGCATGCATGATATTGAATATGAGAAGGAAAATGGCCCTGGAGTATGGATATTATTCAAGGAAATGAGAATAATAATATCAGCCTGAAAATATTGCTGGCTGAAGATTAGGATAGTCCTTATTAGAGCATAATACTTAGAATGGTAAGGGTGAAATTATGTAAAAATTTGTGAGAAGAATATTTTAACCTGTGTCTGAAGACTCTTTAATGATTATTGTTTAATGTAGCTTTAGCCGTGTTTTTCCAGACTAATTCTTAAAGCATTTCTTAAAAGCATCCTGCCAGAAAATTAAAACATTTTTTCAGACTATTTTAAAGAACATTTACCTTCACATCTTGATTTTACAGAATTATGTATTCAGAGACTGAACTTGTATTTATAAATAGTATTTTCTATACATTGGTTTTGACTTATAAAATTACATTGTTAACTTTAAGTGAAAAATCTGCATTGCACAGTTTTCAGCATGTTTTACGGTAGTCATTTTGAATGGCAAATGAAAGATCTCTGACACATGAGCCATTTCACGGAGATCAAGGCTGTATATACTGAATTTTCTTTTACTGAATTATCAGTGAAATATTAGCTGATGTCAAGGAGTTCTTGGCGGGAATCTTTTGATTAGTCCTACTTTTATCCTTGACAGTGTATAAGTAGGAAGAACTTTCTTTTGCTTCCTCTCTGGAAGTTCTGTATCTAACACTGGCAGAGTAAGCGGTTCCTTGGAAAGGTATTCAATTAACTTTTGTTTTTAATCCTCACTGAGGATATTTTTCCATTTATCTTCAGATAGAGTGCTGGGGGTGGGGTGGGAGGGAGAGAGAGAAACTTTGATGTGAGAGAGACACATTGATTGGCTGCATCCTGCATGACCCTGACCAGGGCCAGTGACCGAATCGCAACTGATGTACATGCCCTTGACCAGACTCAAACCCACAACTCCTTGGTCTGCAGGTCGACACTCTAACCGCTAAGACAAACTGTCCAGGGTTTCAATTAACTTTTGATTATACAGTATATGAGAGACAAAGAAATGTGTAGTTAACAAATAATTATAATATTTGATTCTTTTATACAATGTCTTTTTTTCCCTCTTAAGGACTTATGCTTTATAGCATAGTTTTTGTTAAATATGTAATAGAAAACATTTGAAATGAGGTATTACTATTTATTCAGATGATTGAAACCAGTAGTGATGAATTCATTGATAATTTTTTTCTAGCCCATTATAAAAATTCTGGTAAGTGTGTGTAGTATTCCTGGATTCTTCAAAACTCATTTAATTAAATGAAAGTTGTTACTTTGGGGTTAATCACCTCCATATCTGATAAACCAACTTCATCGTGTCAGCTAAATAACATAGTATTAGAACTTAGCATAAGTTCTTAACTGTGCTATTTATTGCCACAAATTGTTTTAGGAGGTTCAGAATGTGATTCTGAATATTTGAAGAGGAAAAATAGTCATTTCCAAATTATGGAAAACATTTTTAATAGTTTTCTGAAGTTTCCCCTCTAATTCATTCTTTGTATGGCAAACAAAATGCAAATCTGCTAGTACCTCCCTTATTTCAGTGGTTTAGAATAAAATCTAAATGTCGATGGGGCTTGAACTCCCTCTGTGATCTGGTTCTCCCTGTTTTTTCAATCACATTTTCTAATTTCAGTCATACTTACAATTTCTCTATAATTCTTTTTCTCTTATGGCCCTTGAACATGTGGTTGTTTCTGCTTGAAATGTTCTTTTCTCTCATCACCTCTTATTCATCTTAGAGCTCTTGAGTTAAAGACATTTCCTTGGAAGGCCTTCTCTGTCCACCCAGACATGGATACATTCTCCCGTCATACACAGTATTCACAGCTCATAACCCTGGTTCAGCAAGCTTGCTAAAGCTGATCCTAGTTACTGTTACAGAAACATGGGTATGCATTCAGTCTTATTCATTTTCAACTTACGGATTGAGTTTTAAGCTTGATAATTACTTCTTGCTTGATTTTTATTTCTATCATGGAGAAACTAATCTGAAATTAATGACAAATTAAAAATAGCACAGAAAAAGTTCTGGATCAGCCTTTCTGAATGTCAGTGTCCTCATTCGTAAAATGAGTGTTGAACTTATTCTAGTTATAATTCTGTTTCTAAATTGTATAAGTTTTTTTTTTTTTTTATCCTCACCCGAGGACATTTTTCCATCTTTTGTTCAGGTAGAGTGGGAGGGAGAGAGAAGAACAGAGAGAGAGAGAGAAACATCAATGTGAAAGGAACACATCGAGTGGCTGCCACCCGCACAACCAACCAGGGCCGGGGACAAACTGCAACCGAGGTTCGCGCCCCCAGCGGGAACCGAACCCGGGTCTCCCAGGACCGCAGGCCGACGCTCTAACCGCTGAGCCAAACCGGCCAGGGCTAAATTGTATAAGTTTTATAATGTATAGTCATTTAAACAAAAACTTTGTTTTAACATTTTTTACTTTTCACTGTTTTTTTTGTTTTTGTTTTTGTTTTTTAAACCTGCTATTTTGCCTTGTAACTATGCTTCAAAAGAATAATTAAACCCACTTCAAGGAACTGAACATTTACTCAAATTGTTGTTTTGCCTACTTGGTCAGCTTCTACTTGCTTCCCTACAGAGAGAGACTAGTTTGCTCTGGTTTTCTACAGGACTTTTATTCTTTGTGCATTGGTGTTGGAAATGATCTTCTAATGAAAATTTTTGTTTATTTGATTTATAACTTTAAGAGGTGACTATGAGGCCCTGGAGAGGTAAAGATGAAGAATTTGTAGGTCTAGAAGGTTGTTTTAGACTGCTTTTGTTAGATGAGGAAGCTGAGACTATAGAAATTAATTCCAGGGTAAGCAAGTAGTGGTGGCAGAAATGGTTTCCTAATTGTGTGGTGTTTTAAGGCTTCTCTTTTCACAAGGTGGTTTATTTTCCTTCTCTCTAGTTTTTAAATGGGTACAGATCATTGCAGGATCAATAGAGGAAGAGAAAATTCTGGTTGACGAAAGCTGGTAACATTGTTCTTATACACAGGTAGTCTGAAAGTAAGCTGTTTGATTGGGGATAATAAATTGAGTATAAAATTAACATTGTATAAAAATCTAAGAAATTATCAATTTGTTTTAAAATTTGCTGTATTTCTATAAGGAGTCAGTTAAATAAATGTGTTTCTATTGTTTCTTTATTTACCTTAGGTAATGTATATTTATAAAATTTATCCACAATAAAGATGAAGTCCAGACATTGGGTCTAACCATCGGTAAAGTACACTTTCATTCAGGCCTCTATTTATTTTTATTAATATGTCCTTGACTGGAACTAGCAGCAGTTTTACATGGCCGTTAAAAATAGGTGGATTTTATTTGACCAGTGATCTCACTTCTAGGAATTATACCCTAAGAAGCCTGAACCACCAATCAGAAAGAATATATGTATCCCTGTATTTGTAGCAGCACTAGTTACAATAGCTAAGATCTGGAAACAGCCAAATGTCCATCAGTAGACGAATAGATAAAAAAGCTGTGGCACATATACACAATGGAGTACTATGCAGCTGTAAGAAAGAAGGATCTCTTAACATGGAGGGACCTGGAAAGTATTATCCTAAGTGAAACAAGCAAAGCAGAGAAAGACAAGTATCATATGATCTCACTTATATGTGGAATATAATGAACATAACAGTCTGAGGAATGGGGTAGTCACAGAGATGTGGAAGTGGGGTACAGACTGACAATTCCCAGAAGAGGGGGTGGTGGGGGAGCGATAAACCACAGTACTTATATGCATGTGTGCATGAACAATGGACCTGGACAACAAAGCTGGGGACAGGGCGGGGAGGGGTGGGGAGGGGGGAATCAGTGGGGGGAAAGGAGAACCATCTGCAACAAAAATAAATTAAATAAAAATAGATACCTTAGCTTCAAAAAAAATAAAAAAGGTAGATTTTTAGTTATTAGTCCTAAGGAATTAATGACCTTAATTAAAAAATAGGGTATTATTCTTTTACACTACCTTCTACTTCTCTGTTAAGTTGCTTTTTAATTAAGATTTTTAGGTTTATAACATATAATCCAAACTGGGCAAAAGGTGAACTATAAGTATGAGGACTTGAAATTTTCCTTTTTTTTTTTTATCCTCACCCGAGGACATTTTTTCATTTTTTTGTACAGATAGAGTGGGAGGGAGAGAGAGAGAGAGAAACATCGACGTGAAAGAGACACATCGAGTGGCTGCCACCCACACAACCAACCAGGGCCGGGGACAAACTGCAACCGAGGTACATGCCCTTAGCAGGAACCGAACCCGGGTCTCTCCAGACCGCAGGTGATGCTCTAACCGCTGAGCCAAACCGGCCAGGGCGAAATTTTCCCATTTTTAAATAAAAAAGTCAGTGATTTACATTCAGTATAAGATTTTATTTAGCGCTGTAGTATTGGGTCGATTAAATAAATGCAATTTGTTTTTTGATACTTTGCTTTAAGATGTGCCCTCTGGTTTACAGACATTTTAAATCAGTTTTAATACTTTTACATCAAAATTTTCTGTTTAGGTCCAAAAGAAGTACAGTAAAAATCAATTAGTTGTCTTCATCTTCAAAAATTAGATTAAGAATACCTAAATTCTTAGGTGGCATAAATAAGAACTGCTCTCTAAAGATGAAGTAGATTACTTTTTCATTTACATTTCTTCTCAGTTCTTTAACTGCAGTGCCACCTAGTTCTTCTGTTCTTGACTCACATTGAAGCACTTTGCTGTGCAGCTAAAATCATGGCCCAGATTTTTACCTAGTATGGCAGATGTGTTATGGTGAACCCTGTCTGGGGAGTCCTGAATTGAGTGAATGGACCTATTATTTCTTAGCTAAGTTATGGCTACTTTTCTGGTATTTAGCCAAGCTTCACTGTTGTGTAGAGTGGGGTCATGACTCTAAACAGCTGAGTGATGATCTGTCCATTTTGATTTTTCCATTGCTCCTCTTCCCTGATATATATAACTTGCAATTGACCATATTTCTTCATGCAACGTTAACTACATTATCAAGTTAAGAACTTTTAATACATGCTTTTTGGTTGAGGTAATTTCATTGTAGCAATAGCTGAATTTCTTACTATTTCTTGTGCCTCATTTACATTGGAGCAGTGGCGGAAAATCAGGAGAACACAATGTAGGGAATGGTTTTTTTCCAGGCAGAGCCCAGGCTAGAATTTACCCTGATGGATTGCTATAGACTCTACTATTGGTTATAACTAATTGCCATTGAGTTTTTTTGTTTTTTTTTTTAAATCTTTATTGTTGGATGTAAATTGTATTACAGATGTTCCACATTTTTCCCCCATTGACCCCCTCCTCCCCACTCCCGCCCTCCTCCCACCTTTTCCCACACTATTGTCTGTGTCCATTGGTTATGCATAAAAGTTCTTTGGTTTATCTCTTCCCACCCCCCCAACCCCTTTCCCTTTGAGGTTTGTCAGTCTAGCAATGAATTTGTACTTCTTAATCTCTTCACCTTTTTCACCCATTCCCCCAACCCCCCTCCCAACTGGCAACCAATAAAATGTTCTTGGTATCTATGATACTGTTTCTGTTCTACCTGTTCATTTTATTTGTAGATTCAATTGTCGATAGATATGTATTCATTGCCATTTTGTTTGTTCATATATTTTATCTTTTTCTTCAAAAAGACCCTTCATCATTTCATATAATAACGGTTTGGTGGTGATGAACTCCTTTAACTTTTTCTTGTCTAGGAAAGTTTTTATATGGCCATCGATTCTAAATGACAGCTTTGCAGGATAGAGTAATCTTGGTTGTAGGTTCTTTCTTTTCATCACTCTGAATATTTCTTGCCACTTCCTTCTGGCCTGCAAAGTTTCTTTTGAGAAATCAGCTGACAGCCTTATGGGGACTCCCTTGTAGGTAACTAGCTGCCTTTCTCTTGCTGCTTTTAGGATTCTCTCTTTGTCTTGAACCTTTTGCATTTTGATGATGATGTGTCTTGGTGTGGGTTCATCTTGTTTTGGTCCTTTTTTATGCTCTTGAGGCCCTCCCTAAGTTCACTGAGGTTCTCACTGAGTTCATTGAGCATCCTAATAAGCAGTATTTTGAACTCAGCATCTGTTAGGTTGCTTATCTCCATTTCACTTAGTTCTTTTCTTGGGGTTTTGTTCTGTTCTTTCATTTGGGACCTGTTTCTTTGTCTCCTCATTTGGGCTGCCTCCCTGTGTTTGTTTCAGTGTATTACTTAATGAGAGGTATAGGGCTCGCTGAGACCAGATGCTGCTCGTTTGAAAGAATTTAGGAAAAACTTGAAGCAGGATCCAAGACAGACCAATCCTATGGTTAAGCAAGTGGCAACAGCTTGGGTGGGCCTGAAAGTTGGGTGGGGCGGGGCCTTAGGGAATCACTAGGATGGGGCTACCAGTGTGAGCCAGGTTGCTGGAGTCCCAGATATGGTGACTGCCGCCCCCGGGAAGGGCTCACCAAAGGAACAAAGGCCTCTGACAGCACGTTTGTCCGGGAGAAAGCCCCCTCTCTAGCCCTCGCTCCGGTGCCAAACAGCTCAGTTCTTCCCTGTATGACTCTGGTGCCCCTCGAGCTGCCTCCCCTCCGAGCTTAGAGGGAGAGAGTCCGACAAGTCCGTGCGCGGGCCCTTTAAGGAGCTGCTGGGGCTCCAGCCACGTCAGCTTCCCTGAGCCTCAGTTCCCGCTGGTTTTCCAGCCAGAAGTTATGGGGACTCTCTTCCTGGCACTGGAACCGTGAGCGGGGCACCTGGTGTGGGACGAGGACCCCCTCAGTCCTCAAGAAGGACCTTCCCAGCCGAGGTATCCTCCTGATTTTTATCCGCCGCACGTGGGTGTGGGACCAGCCCGTCCCCTCCGCCCCTCCTACCAGTCTTGATGCGGCTGCTGCTTTAATTCCGTAGTTGTAGGACTTCCATTCAGCTTGATTTCAGGCGTTTTTGAATGATGGTGGTTCTGTAGTTTAGTTGTAACTTTGATGTGGTTGTGGGAGGACGCGATACCACGTTTACCTACCTGCCATCTTGACCGGAAGTCTCGCCACTGAGTTTTATTGGGTGGCTCTTTGAATGTTGGCAGGTACTTGAACTAGTCCCTGCCCTAGACAGGCTTATTGTTATAACATTTCCTTTTTGATTTCTTTTTCTACTTGTTCTTTTACATCATCATGGTATAATCCAAGGTAGAAAGTAACAAGTTTTATCTCATGATTTGTATAGTGACTAGGGATAATTTATTGAGAAAAAAATATTTTCCCTATTTATTATTAATTATTTTGCCCTATTCATTCCTTTGAAATTGCAGAATTGTAGAGTCTTGCCCCCCAAATTGATAATGATTACTTAAAATACCAACGTAACTTAAAAATAAGTAAACTTATGTTTTGTTGATTATAAGTAAAGGAGTCATTAATTATGCCCTTTACTTTTATTTTTTCTGTATTTCACTCATTTTTTGGTGAGGATCTAGAGCAGGGGTGGGGAATGTCCGGCCTGTGGGCTGTATAAGACCCATGAAATCACTTGGTCTGGCCCTGCCAAGGCAACCACAAGCGGGACTTGAAATTCAATAAATCTAGGAGCTTTTCTCAAAGCAACTTAAATTTATATTAAGTGAGTAATAATAATAACGTACATTTTGAGGAACAGGCACAGAATGTCCATTATGGGATAGACAGGACACATAAGAGTGTACATGACGGGACAGTCACGTATGCTTCTCATCGGCCCGTCTGCCTGTCTTGTGGTGATTCAGGACAGTCAGTGCCAGGCCGGTTGGAAGTGCAGTTGTTGTGAAAGTGTTAACACACTGATGGAACTATGGCGATCCTGTGATGATGAGACAAGATGCAATGAGATGATTCCTCACAACGTTGATGACCTTGCCTCTAATGATTGATGACATTGTTGTCAACTTCTTTGTTGATGTAGATGATAACTCCAATCTAACTTTTATCCACACATCCACGATCAACAATCCTCCCAGAAACTGAATCTCAGATGAAGATTCAGGAAATTACAGTATATAGAAAAGACCTCAAGAGTCAATTATATGAACGTTGGATATGTTCCAAATCCAAGATGCAGGATTAGAACAGTGATCAAAGCAAAATAATTGCGTCACTGGTGATACACACACTGGATAGTTATTAAAACTTAAATGGTATGACATCCTACAAATGGCAGTTACAAAGAAAAGAAAAGGTGATGCAGAGTGTTGAACTTTCCAAGAGAAATGGACAAATGATATTTTTATTGAAGTCAAAGGCAAACCTGTGTGCCTAGTTTGTGCTGATGCGTTAGTAGTAATATTAAAAGCCAACCTGGAGTGTCATTACAGCTCAAAATATGCTAAACTCAATGAATTGGAATGCCAAATGTGTCTGGGTAAAATCAGTGCTCTTCAGCCGAGTTTGAAATCACAGCAAGCCTCTTTCACTAAGCCTTGTTGTGACAGAGATAATGTTATTCAGATGAGTTATGTAGTGAATGAGCTAATATCAAAGAAGCTGTGATTTTTTATGTAGAGGGAGAGTTTGTGAAAGAGTGCATGGTGGCTGCTGGGGAGTTGTTACCACTAGACAAAGTAAAATTGTTTCAGATTGTTAGTTTGTCAACCATCTCAGTTGGCATTACTGACTTAGCCCAAGATATTGAAAAAACACTAAAGGATTCTGCAGGAGATTTCCAATTTTTCTCTGTGGCTTGTGACGAAACAACGGACTTAACAAATACTGTCCAACTGGCCATTTTCAATCCTGGGAAACTGCACAGTTTGACGCGTGAGAGGAACTGCAGTCACTGGAAGCCATGCGTGGTACTACAGGAGGTGAGGACTTATTTGAGAGACTTATTTTATCAATGAAAAACCTTGAGCTAGCATTTGAAAAGTTAAGTGGCCTTATTACACAGATGGAGCTCCAGCCGTGGTTGGCTTGAAAAACAGGTTAATTGCATTTATCAAGGAAGAACTGAATCATCTCAGTCTTGATCCAAGTGATTTAATTGTATGCGTCATACACCAACAGAGTCTCTGTGCACAGTTGTTGCCACTCAACAATGTGATGTTAATGGTAGTTTCATGCATATATTTTGTCAAAAACAGAGCGTTTAACAGCCACCAGTGTAAGGAGTTACTGAATGATCTTGACTCTTGAGTATGGGCATCTTAGTTTATCACTGTGAAGTGCAGTGGCTGAGTTGTGGGAACATGCTCATGAGGTTTTATGAACTTCAGGATGAAGCCAAGCAATTCATGGAGATGAAGAGAAAACTTGTCAGGGAACATAGTGATAGCAAGTGGCTGTATGATTTAGCATTCATGGTGTACATTACCACGTACCTCTCAGAGCTGTGAAGCCCCAACCAGCTTCTTGGCTCTCTGCTTTCAAACGTGAAATCATTTGAAGCTAAATTAAGGCTGTGGAAAGTGCAACTTGAAAGGACTAACACAGTGCGTTTTTCCACTATAGAAGGACAAAAACTTTCTAGGACACTTGAATATGCTGGTGAATGTGTGAAAGATTCAAGGACATGAAAAGTAAACAAATGTAATGGAACATTTTTGCCACACTGTTCAACTGGGAACTAACGGATGTGCCTGATAACCTACAACAACGAAATTATTCAGCTGCAAAGCGATGATGAGCCGAATGCTAGGTACAGCCACCTCCCAATGTTTGAGTTCTGTAAACATTTCATAAGCTATAATGAATTTCCCACTTTGAGGATACATGCATTGAAATATGTGTCTTTGTTAGGAACAACTTACTTCTGTGAGCAGTTCTTTTTAAAACTTACCATTGCAAATAGTCAACTACATTCCAGACAGACTGATGCAAACCTGAAAAAGCAGTTGCAAGTAGCAACATCATCAATACCAGCTAACATCACACACCTCACCTAAGAGAAGCAGTTCCAGCCATCACATTAGGGGTGAGTTAATTAAATGTTTGACCAAATATAGCAGGGTCATTTTTAAGTTGATAATTTTGTATGGCCCAGGAATGATGTTATAAATATCCAAGTGGCCCTTGACAGAGAAAAGGTTTCCCACCCCCAGTCTAGAATATGTATTTATAAATCTATTTGTTAAAAGATCATATTTGTTCTGTTCTATAGAAACAGTGCTTAATATTTAATGACATTTTGTTCTAGAACTTTCTATATTTTTTGAGAATATTTTCACAAGCATGTTTATCGTGTGGATAATGTAAGTTTTACAGCTTGTAACTACAACAGAAAGTGTAAATAACACTGTAAACTGCATATTAAATTGGGTCTTCCTGATAGTGGTGAACTTCAGTAATTCCATGTTAGTTTTTAAAAAAATATACTTAGAATAAACTTTGCATTCACAGATACTAAATATGAAATTAATATATAAAGCTACTTTTGCCAAAGCCAATTAGTCTTTATTTTTATTTTTTAAATTTATTTTCTCAGGGGAAGTGACATAATCTGATGTATGGTTTTAAAGAGCTCTTTGGTGACTGTGTAGAGAATAAACTAGTGCAACAGAAGTAGAAGCAAGCAGACCAGTTGTGAATCAGTTTCTAAAGTCCACAAAAAAGATGGTATCTCAGAAGAGTGTGATATTTGAAGAAATGAAAGAAAGTAATGGGACTTGAGTATACATTGAGTGCAAACCCAACAGAGCTTTCTGATGGATTAGATGTGGGGGAGGCTGAGGAGAGGAAAGGGTTTGAAAGAATGGAAAGAATGGAGCCATGTAAAAGTTTGCAGTGCATAACCTTCATCTGTGCTCAGGCTCTGATTTAGAAAGAAGATGGATGTTGGTGACTTCAATGAGGAGGATAGTGAAGGATCGTCTTTATTTTATTTTATTTTTTTATCCTCACCTGAGGACATTTTTTGATATTTTACTCAGATAGAGTGGGAAGGAGAGAGAGGAAGAGAGAGAGAGAGACATCGACATGAAAGGGACACATCGAGTGGTTGCCACCCACACGACCCAATTAGGGCTGGGGACAAACTACAACCGAGGTACGTGCCCTTAGTGTGAACCAAACCCAGGTCTCTTCAGACCACAGGCCACTGCTCTAACCACTCAGCAAACCAGCCAGGGCTTAGTGTAGATTTCTTAGAATTTCTGTTGGTTTCTATTGGTTCTGTTACTCTGTTTTTTTGTGAAATAATACATGTTCACACCCTGTTCCTGCCTCTTGCCTTAGGAATTTGTGCATATTGTGCCAGTTACCTTTCAGCATTATTTCCAGGCTGAAGATTCCGAAGTTTTATAGTTCACCTTCATATGGAAGGCCTCCACCCCATACCTTCCTAATAATTTTATTTTCACATACATGCATTGTCTGGTTCTTGTCAAAAGAAATAGATTTAGGTAATATTTTTCTTCTCTGTTTCCAATATGCTTTCTGTTAATGGCCACTATTACAGTTGGCCTTTCTGAATAGAACAGCACATTGGAAATGTTACTCCTCAGGAAACAGTGTATAATGACTACCAGATCTCTTTCCAGATCACTCTTATTTTATGAGTATAGTAATCCTTCTCATTTATGAGTTTGCCTTATTTGAAATTCAGATATAATGTACATTTACTTCTGTACTGTATATGTTTTTCAGTACCTCCGCTGGATATATGGGTCACTTGTTTCCATTTTTGTTCTTTTGCCAGTTGCTTCTTAGACTATTGGACACAAACATATTAAGTGTCATGAAAATATATTATATTTTATCATTGAGCTATGTGTATTCCATGTGGTATTTGTAACCCTGACGATATTGGGCAAGAAGTGATTAAAAAGAATGTTGTTTGTGCTGTCAGAGCTATTACTGCCAAGGTAGATGTCTAGTAGTGCTACACATAAAGTGCCATGACAGTGTAAAATGAAAGGCATATTGTCCCCTCAGACTCCAAAGAGTGTGAGACTCTTTGCCAAAAGGGGTTTAAAATAACTCTTTCATCATTAACTTTGTGGTATACAGACTAAGGAAGCAAAGCTCTCAGGTTAGAGGCCAGGGAGCTATAGAACCGCAAAGTGTTTCTATTAATTTGTAAAACCTGTAATTAGAATTTTGTGACAAATGTTTTTTTTAAAAAGCAACGCTTTTAATATAAATTAATTTGTACAGATTTTATTTTTAAGGTCTCTATTTTCAGAAGGTATATAAGCAAAATCTAAGAATGGACTTTCAGATGAGGTGTGAATGAATTTACTATAACCAATAATAAAGTGGAAAGAGGCTTTTAAAAAAAAAGTCCACAGCTGTAGGGCCTGAGTGGCTCAGTTGAGCAGCGTCTTGTGCACCAAAAGGTTGCCGGTTGGATTCCCTGTCAGGGCACATACCTGGGTTGCAGATTTGCTCCTAGGTTGGGGTTGGGGGCATGTACAGAAGGCAACTGATCTCTCTCTCTTTCCCCCTCCCCCTTCCTAATAAGTCCACGGCTTATATTCATTGCTTTTATTCAAAGGACAGAAAATTCCAGGTTTATTGGCTAAAGAATGGCAATATGCTTGATGGTTGATTCTTAACCTTTCTTTAATCATATCAGATGTAAAGAGGAATGTCAAAGGGAGAATCTGATGAAAACCGTGGCCTTCTTAGAAAATTTCATATTTTTACATACATGCTTTTCATATCGGTTGGGGGGCGTTGTTCACTGACATCCTAAAACTCTGTGAACCCACTGGGTGAGAGAACATTTGTACTAGTGTCAGAAACATTCAAGCAACTTTCAGAATCAAATTTGAATGACTATGCAAGTATAAATATCTATGAGCTAAGGGAGGTGGCCCCAGTAATTATGCTTTTTCCCTTCCTGTTTTAGCCCCATTATTGTCTATTTCCGTCTCAGTAATTTAAAAGACAGATTGAAATCTATAGCTTATTTCCAATTTAAGGTAGGGGAATGTCTTTAGTAGCTAGTTAGTGTGTTCTTTGTTTTCTGTATTTTTATTTTAGTGAATGTGAAACATTTGTGAAACATATTTATGAAGCTTTATAGATTGTGATTTAAGAAAATAAGATGAGTTTCTTGTCTAAGAATTCTCCTACCATGAGGATTTTTAAAAAGTTAATTCTGACTGTTTGAGATATTACTTTATTAATCCATTAGTTCTGTTATATTATACTTATTTTTATTATTGATTTTTGTTTCTTTATATAATCTCTCCAGTTATTCTTTCTGTTGAATTTTGTTAGGTTTGACATTTCCCTGACATCTTCATATTAGAAGATTACAGTATTTATTATTCTAGATAACTTATAAAAATATTAAATGAGATAGATTCTGTAGTCATTTTAGAATAGTTCATTGTGGAGTACTTTTGGAGTACAGATGACCCTTGAACAACACAACACAGGTTACTGGTGCTAACCCCCCATGAAGCTGAAAATCTATATAACTTAACTGTTAATAGCCTACTGTTGACCAGAAGCCTTACTGATAACATAAACAATTGATTAGCACATATTTTATATGTGTACTATATACTGTGTTCTTACAATAAAATAAGCTAGGGAAAAGAAAATGTCATTAAGGAAATTATAAGGAAGAGAAAATACCATATACAGTATTTGTTGAAAAAAATAATCCATGAATAAGTGGACCCACAAAGCTCAAACTAGTGTTATTTGGGAGTCAACTATATTTTATTTTTAATACCAACCATTGAAGAAAATGCCATTGTTTTCAAACTCTTCTTCCACTGTGTCTCAGGTTATCTGAACTTCCCGTAAGATAGGCATCAAGTTTTATTCATTTTGTATCATCAATTACTAGCATAATGTTACTTGCCTAATAGTAGATTTCAGTAAACCCTAATAGTTGGTTCCTTGGATTGAAAGATTACTTTCTCCATTTCCAACACAGGTATTTTTAAAAAATAGTCAACTTGGGACCTTTGTATAGGAGGCTTTTTGAAAGTCTTGAAAATTACCTGTGTTCAATCCTCTTTACCTCCAGAATAGTTGTGTGCATTGTCAGGTATATGACAGACCAAGTCAACTCTAAGCCTGTTTTTCAGGATATTAGTTTCTAAATTTATGGTTGATTCCTTGTAGTCTTGGGAGGGAACATTACAGAAACATAACGGTATGTCTTTAAAGATTGTAAGATAAAGTCTTTGAAGGAGGCTTAGTTTGGATTTAAAATCATTCATTACATATAACCTTATCACTTTTTTAGAAAAGAATGAAGAATGGTATTATTTGGAAAAAATAATGGATTAAATATTAAACATCAAGCATTTTTATTTTCTAGGAGGTGGTATGGTATAGTCAGTCCTTTGATGCCACTTTAAGGAAAAATAAAAGTGAAATAGTTGGAGCATTGTTTATTTTTCTCATAAATGAAGGATATTTTGGAATTCACTTTTTGTTATTTAAATTCTTAGAAAACAAGGTTTGTAAGTGATTAAGTTCATGTTTATCAAGAAATCAGTATTTTGGAAGAGTTATTTTTAGTGATAGTGATTGCATTAAGTGTGTTACTGTCATAGTTTTCTCTTAATTTTTTAGCAGTCACGATCTCTGATACTCTTAAAGGAAGTTAAAAAAAAAAAAAAAGCCACAAATTGAATCATAGGTAATAGGGCAGGAAGGAAGGTAATAGAGAGGGCTTCCATGATATCCTCAAGCTTCATCCACTAAAAAAGATATTACCAAGCTATAATTGACTACTTTGGGAAATTCAACTTCATGTGGCAAAGCCAAAGTCTCTTAAATTATCATTAAAGGCATATATCTGCTACTTTGATGGCTTTTTTTTTTATTATTAGCTTTGGAAAAGCTAAAAATATGACTGTGAATTTGTGTAGTTACACTTTGAACTACATCTACATGGCTTCTGGATGTACCTTTTAAGAGTACTTTTTAGTGTTTTCCTTGTTGGCACTTTATAAAATCTGTCGAAGAATATAAATTCATGGGTTTTATTTTTAAATTTTAAAGGAGTTGTAAATAAAATACTTCACTAAAATGATTTTTCAGAAGTATAACTATTTCTAGCTAATTCATTGATTTATTATTATTATTATTAAGAAGATTTCAAACATACTCAAGAGTAGGAGGATAATATAGTACATATCCTTTGCTTGGATTCAGCAATTAACTAAGATTTTTGCCAATGGCTGCTGCTGCCAGTGCAGCTGGTGGTGGTACTGCTGCTGCTGCTTCTCCTTCTGCCTCCAACCTTACTCCTCCTCCTCTTCATCTTTTTCGGCTTTTTCTTTGCAGAAGTATTTCAAAGCCAATTTGGGCACTATGTTTTCCACCCACATACTGTTCACGTTACATCTCTAAAAAATATGACAACTTTCTTAATGTGACAATGCCATTATTAAATTTATGTTTTGATACTGATTTTCTGGCTTTGGCTTATGTTCTTGCATATACCTACCTTCATGTTTAAGCTGTTTATTCACTTCAGGAAATCTGTGTTCCACATCTTAAATTTTTTCCTTTTTCCATTTTTCAAAAAAGATAACTTTAAATTGATTCTTGACCACTAGGTATCAGTTTTCATTTCTATTACAATCTAGAAGAAAATAGAAAGACTACTTTGCCATGTGGTTAAGTAGTATACAGTATAAACAGCCTCCAAAGAACATTTAAAAAAAATCTTTCTTGAATGATACATTGCAGTTTCTTATTTCATGGCTGGCTTGTTCAAAATTTTTTTCAAGTTCAAAAATGTAGGATTCAGAAGTATGTCATTTGAACAATATGAGAAATTCTCATATTATCATATGGCTGTGTAATAAAACTGATTCTGTTTTGTATAGTCTAGCAGTACTTCTCAAGTTATGTGTGGTAAAGGACATTTTTCCTCTTACATTTTCAATCTTTTGCAGAATAATAGATTTTAAAAATGTAATGAAATGTTGTGGTTATAACAAATCACTATAAAAGTTCTAAACTCTTATTCTCGATTTCTTTATTTTTCTTTTGTGAATATAGTGGTTCATGGACCAACACTAGTCTATTTTTGAGTGGCTCTGAATGTTGTTATTGTTAAACATGGTCATCAGTATGTATTTATTATTTGGGATTGTTTCAGAGATGCTTTCTGGGAAAGAGTAAACTGTGTGCTTCTCACATACTTTTATTTATCTGTCATCTTTTTAGCTCTCCTGGTTTGGAGTTTCAAGATTATTTGCAAACATTGTATCAATAATTGTATAGGGTCATTGGATTGTTCATTTGGGCTGAAGGAGCAACTTGATCATTCTTCTTATAAAATGTACAAGACCAAAATGTGTACTTGACAGGTGTATGTGAAGAATTAAAGGTATGGTTGGTTAGACATGAGCCAGAGAAATAGTACAATAAAATAGCAACTATGTTAGACTAGGAGTTACAAGACCTGTTTTCTATCCCTTTTTCAAAAGCAATATGATCTTGACTGCTATCTGCCTTGATGCTTATTCGTCTGTAAATTGTGATTACTAATGACTCTGCCTACTTTGCAAAGTTTGGAGCATCATAACCTTGTTTTTTAATCTCGTGTTTTTTCTCTATAGGTCATCAGCAACAAGATGTTTGTGGGTTTCATTTTAGTTCTCCAGAACTGGATTGCCTTAGCTACTTTATATATTTGCTCTGCTTTCAACTGGCCACTTTCTAACTTCTTCACCTGCTACTCAGTATATCTTATCTGTAATTATAGCTTCTTTTTGGGGGAATATGCCGATACAGTACTCCTCTAACTAAATGCTTAAAATATGGCACACTGAATGATGTATTTTTGATGTTAGCTCCTTATCAAATAATAGGAAGACATTTTCTCCCATTCTGTAGGTTGCCTTTTCATCTTGTTGATGGTTATCTTTATTGTATGGAAACTTTTTAGTTTGATATAATCCCACTTGTTTATTTTTGCTTTGATTGCCTTTGCTTTTGTTTTAAAAAATCATTGCCAAGACTGATGTCAAGGCAGTTGCCCACCCATACCTCACTACCTCTGAGTTTTCTTCTAGGACTTTCTTCTAGGAGTTTCAGGTATAGGAGTTTCAGGTCTTACATTCAAAAATTTAGTCCATTTTGAGTTGATTTTTGTATATAGTATACGATATTGGTACAATTTTATTCTTTTGATGTGGCACAATTTATTGAAGGGACTGTCCTTTCCCATTGTATATTCTTGACTCCTTTGTCATAAATTAATTGGCCATTAAACCCATGTGTGGGGTCACTTGTGGGCTCTCTTTTCTGTTTCGTTGATCTGTGTTTCTGTTTTTATGCCAGTACTATACTGTTTAGATTACTGTAGCTTTGTAATACTATTTGACATCCGGAAGTGTGATGCCTCTTAAATTTATTCTTCTTTCACAAGATTGTTTTCACTGTTCGGCGTCTTTTGTAATTCAACACAAATTTTAGGATTGTGTGTTCTATTTCTGTGAACAATGCCATTGGAATTTTGATAGGGATTACATTAAATCTGTAGATTGCTTTGGATTGTATGGACATTTAAAAATATTATTTTCCCAATCATGACTATGAAATATCTTTTCATTTATTTGTGTCTCCTTTGAGTTTTTTCATCAGTGTCTTATAGTTTTCAAAGTACAAGTATTTTACCTCCTTGGTTAAATTTATTCTTTAGGTATTTTATTCTTATTGATTCTATGGTAAATAGATTGTTTTCTTAATTTCTCTTTTTAATAGTTTCTTATCAGTGTATAGAAACACAACTAATTTTTTAAAATTCATTAATTTATTTTTGTTACACATGTTTCTCCTTTTTCCCCCACTGGAAATTAACCCCTTATTTGATATATCATTGGCAGTGGGTTGCCTTTCTATTTTGATGATTATATCTTTTGCTGTGCAGAAGCTTTTTAGTTTGATGTAGTCCCATGTGTGCATTTTCTCTTTTGTTTCTGTTGCCTTAGGTGATGTATCAGTGAAAATTCTGCTGTGTATGATGTCTGAAATTTTGTTGCCTACATTTTCTTCTAGGATTTTTATGGATTCATGAGTCACATTTAAGTCTTTTACCCATTTTGAGTTTATTCTTCTGTATGGTGTAAGTTGATGATCTAGTTTCATTTTTTTGCATGTAGCTGTCCAATTTTCCCAACACCATTTATTAAAGAGGCTGTCTTGATTCCACTGTATGCTCTTGCCACCTTTGTCAAATATTAATTGAGCATATTGCCTTGGGTCTGTTTCTGGGTTTTCTATTCTGTATCACTGGTCTATATGCCTGTTCTTGTGCCAGTACCAGGCTGTTTTGATTACAGTGGCTTTGTAGTATAACCTGAAATCTGGTAATGTTATCTGTCCAACTTTGTTCTTCTTTTTCAAGATTGCTGTGGCTGTTCGGGGTCTTTTTTGGTTCCATATGAACTTTTGAAGTATTTGTTCTAGTTCTGTGAAGTATGTCATTGGTATTTTGATGGGGATTGCATTGAATCTATAGATTGCTTTGGGTAGTATGAACATTTTAATGATGTTAATTCTTCCAATCCATGAACAAGGTATGTGCTTCCACTTTTTTATATTTTCCTCTCTATCTTTTTTCAATGACCTGTAGTTTTCTGCGAATAGGTCCTTTATTTGTTTGGTTAAGTTTATTCCTAGGTATCTTAATTTTTTTGCTGCGATGGTAAATGGGATTTTTTTTTTAGTTTCTCTTTCTGTGAGTTCATCATTGGTTTATAAGAATGCTCTCAATTTATTGATGTTAATTTTGTATCCTGCTACTTTGCCAAATTCATTTATTAAGTCTAGTAAATATTTTAATGGCTTCTTTGGGGTTTTCTACGTAGAGTATCATGTCATCTGCGAATAATGACAGTTTCACTTCCTCCTTTTCAATTTGGATCCCTTTTATTTTTTGTACCTGTCTGATTGTTGTGGCTAAGACTTCCAGTACTATGTTAAATAAGAGTGGCGAAAGTGGGCATTCTTGACTTCTTCCTGTTCTTAAGGGAAGTGCTTTTAATTTTTGCCTATTGAGTATGATGTTGGCTGTAGGTCTTTCATATATGGCCTTTATTATGTCAAGATATGATCCCTCTATTCCCAGATTGCTAAGCGTTTTTATCAGAAATGGGTGCGGGATTTTGTCGAATGCTTTTTCAGCGTCTATTGATATGATCATATGATTTTTATCTTTCATTTTGTTTATGTGGTGTATCACATTTATGGATTTGCGAATATTGTACCAGCCTTGCATCCCTGGGATGAATCCCCCCCCGTTGGTCATGGTGAATAATTTTTTTGATGTGTTGCTGGATTCAATTTGCTAGTATTTTGTTCAGGATTTTGGCAT